CAGGACGGGACCGAGTATCACACATCTTCTCTTTGCCGATGATAGCATAGTGTTTCTATAAGCCTCTCACTCTAATATGATGAGGCTTAGATCCATTATTCATGTATATGAAGAGGCGTCCAGTCAGAAGGTATGCAAAAATCGTCTATCTTTTTTGGCAAAGGGTGTAGGGAGGAAAGCAAATGTGAGCTGAAAAACGCATTGGGGTTGAATCAGAGGCCCTTAGTGAACGTTGATCTAAGGATGGGTCTTTTAAGCACGTGAAAGAATCATCAAAAGCAAAAGTTGCCGGGTGGAAAGGACAAGGTTTGTCAAAGGCTGCGAGGGAAGTGTTGGTGAAGTCGGGGCTGCAAGCAACACCGACATACCCAATGAGCTGCCTCCAGCTCTCCAAGAAAATGTGATGGAACCTGAAATTTATCTCTTCGAAATTCTGGTGGGGAGCAGTCGATGGGGAACGCAAAGTCCACTAGGTGGCGTGGGATAAAATGTGCACGAGAAAAAGGAAAGGTGGAATGGGGTTCAGAAATTTTGAGATTTTCAACCAAGCTCTTCTAGCAAAGCAGGTGTGGCGGATCATTATGGTGCCAAATTCATTATGCGCAGGGGTGTTAAAAGCTAGATATTTTCAGGAAATGGATATAATGTCAGCCCCTTGTCCACAAGGTTGCTCTTTCACATGGAGAAGTCTAATGCATGGGAGGGATCTGTTAGCACAAGGGTTGGTGTGGAGAGTGGGAGACGGCTCTACAATCAATGTACATAATAGCAATTGGATCCCCAGGGGCAGGGAGCATGACACCACTGGGTGTTGTGTTTGTCCCAAATTTAACCAAGGTGGCAGATTTCCTAAAGGTCCAGTCTTCTGAGTGGGATGTCGACAAACTGAACCGGGTTTTCTCTAAAGGGGGCGTAGCAAATATCAAAATTATTGTCATAGGCGGTCAGGGAAAAAGGGACTACAAGGCTTGGAACTTCACAAAGAGTGGGCATTTTACAGTCCGCTCAGCATATCATCTTGGTATGTCGCTCAAGGCAACCAAAAGGGAGCAGGCTTCAGGATCCTCATCTGTGGCTGATCATAAGAGTTGGAATGAGTTGTGGAGTGCAGACTTGCAGAATAAGATAAAAATACATGCATGGCACATGCTATCTAATGGTCTGGCGGTTGGTATGGAGCTTCACCGACGGAAAATCAAGCCTGGAATCTTCCGTGCCGCGTGTGGCAGGGAGGAGACCATCATCCATAGATTCTGGCGCTGTCCCCACTCACGCCATTACTGGAAGCCGCTTGGTGACACGGTGGCCGCCCCCTTAGCGGGACTGCCTGAAGGGATTGCGGCCTACAGCGGAATGAGAGCATGGGTGTTGGACCGGTTGAGCAGGACGGGGAATGAAGAAAGGGATCTGGTCTTGAGGAGCTGGTACGAGCTTTGGTTAGCACGTAATAAGGCAAGGGACACCAACCAGATGGAAGATCCAAAGTTGGTACTTCAACGAGTATTGTACCTGACGGAAGAGTGGAGGTCGAGCAAGGACACGGTGATCAAACAGTCAGTGGTAAGGGGACAGGACAAGTGGAGCAAACCTGACGATGGTTGGGTTAAAGCGAATTCTGATGGGGCGCTGGCCAAACACCAAGGATAAGGAGGAGGAGGAGCTGTTCTCAGGAACAACCATGGTGAGTTCATTGTGGGAGCGTGCCATTTTTTTCCTCTTGCTGCTGATGCGGAGACGGTGGAATTACTAGCGTGCCGACGAGCTGTTATCCTTGCCCAAGAACTAAACATCCAGAGGTTGATCCTTGAGACAGACTCACAGGTTGCCGTTCGGAAGATCTCGAGTGAGCAGAAGGATCTATCTGGCAATGGGCAAATAGTAGAAAAGTTGAAGACGCTACTCTCTACGTTTAGTGGCTTTAGAATTGCTTGGGTGCGTCGGTCTGCGAATAAAGTCGTACATATCTTAGCAAGGGAAGGTTGTAAGAATTTTCTTTGTAAGACCTGGCTTCATGTACCTCCAGAGTGTATAAGCTCGGAGATTACAGCAGATGGAGCTACGAACTTTTAATAAAGCTTAAGTCTTCCCCTAAAAAAACAATAAAATTTGAGGCTCTCAAGAGAATAGTACATTGCAGAAATGTGATAGTTTAACCTGGCTTTTTTCTAAAAAGATACTTCCTCCGTTCGGAATTACTCGTCTAAGAAATGAATGTATCTAGATGTATTTTAGTTGTAGATACATCCATTCTTGTGACAAGTAATTCTGAACGGAGGGAGTAGAAGTGAACCAATTATGATAAAGATTTCATGATCCCTTGCAACGGAAACTATAGACTGATTGTTCCATTAGAAAATCGGCGATATATGTCCCAGAAAAATAGGTGCAGATGCTCCCGGGTTTGGATAGTAAAAAAAATTTAAAATAGAAAAAAAATCCAAGAAAATCTGAAAAAAAAATTGACGAATGCGTGACGCCCGTATAAACTATGGTGGAGTTCGGACACATTCGAGGAGCTCGTGGAAAAAAGACAAATTTCGAACCTGTGTGAAAGTTTGAAAAAAATACACTGTTCATAGCCGATTTTGCCTTTTTCTTTTTGCCACGAACTTCTTGGATGTCATTTGCCCACAAATAGTTTCAGATTTTTTCGAATTTTGACAATTTTTTTAGATTTTACTGTTTATCATGTCCAGTCTTCAAATTGAAATATCGACAGCACGCATCCTTTCTTTCTCTTCCCTGGGAAAATATCCCATCGTCTAGTCCCACCAGTCTTCCTTTTTTTTGCCTCCATCTCCTCCGGCGATGGCCGCCGGTCTCCTGCTGGTCGTCGCCGCCGCGGCCCCGCATCGCCGGAAATGCCGCCCGCGCCTGCTCCTCTGCGGCTCGGCTCCGAGGCCCTACCACAGCTGCCGCGTCTCCCTGCGACCGTGGCCGTGCGCGGCCAGGTTCGCCGCGTCAGCCTCCGGCGGTGGCGGGGGCGGGTCGGAGGCGCCGTCGGAGGGAGAGGTAGGCGGATGCGGCGCGGAGCGGACCGTCGAGGAGCTACAGAGACACGCCTCCGACGCCGACGAGTCAGAGGTTGGAATCTCCCTCCCCCTCACACCCTGAACTTCATACTTCTACCACTACCGCAGCGTTGTTAATTGCAGATTGCTTAAGTAGTACTGTATACTCATATCCTGTACAGACAGACACAGTGACACAGTGACATTACAGGACCAAATTAGGACGAAGAGAGGGAATTGGATATATAGAACCAAGCTGCACACTACCAGCTAGTTTACTACTCATGATTTGTTATTATCCCATTTGTGCCTACTTGCAGAAGGTGGAGACTAGACTTATCTCCTAGACTTGAGATAAGGACATGCAGGGAGACCAGACTAGCAGTGAAGTCAGGTCATAAGATGCTTCCGTGTTCCCCAGCTAGCTTAATTTACCATGTGAGGTCATACAATGCTTGGATTGCTCATAATGCCGGCCCTTTGCTATCTTGTGATCATCAACAACACCAGGGGCACAGCTGCGTGCATTGTCGTGGAGAGGAATGCGCTGGCTTCATTCAACGCCAGCATCATTGACGATCCTGGTGGGAGGTTACGCTCATGGCAAGGATAAAACTGCTGCAGCTAGGCCGGTGTGAGCTGCAGCAAGAAGACCGGCCATGTCGCCAAGCTGGACCTTGGTAGTTACTCCCTCAAAGGCGAGATCAGTCCATCTTTGGCCGGTTTGACCAGATTGATGCACCTCAACCTAAGCCATGGGGATTTTCGTGCCGTGCCCATCCCAGAATTCATAGGCTCTTTCAAGATGTTGAGGTATCTTGATCTGTCGCATGCCGGTTACGGCGGAACAACTCCTCCTCAACTCGGTAATTTGTCCAGACTCAGCTATCTTCATCTGGGCTCATTCAGAGTTCCTGGGATCAGTCTGGATAATTTCATGTACATGCACAGTCACACTGACACAGTGACACTACAGAACCAAATTAGGATGAAGACAGGGGATTGGATCGAACCAAGCTGCACACTACTTCTGAAAAATTCTTATTATGACAACCATGGCCACATTACATTGTTCCAGAAATGGCCACTTACAGAAGGTGGGGAAGGAAGCTTATCATATTTCAAATTTGGGGGTGTGCTTGCAGGTGGCGAAGGAACAGGCTGAACAGAGGGCGACGACGAAGCAGATGTTCGATTTGGGCAAAGGGCGTACTGGAAAGTGGTGTATAGCCACTCCATATAATTCTTGGAGGCGGCACTCTTCCTCGCGATTTGTGGTAGAATTTTGAGAATTGTGGGTCTCCTCAGCACCATCAGTCTAACCAGTTATTTTAATTTGAAACGATGAGACCGCTGGCTGGTCAGCACAAACTGCAAGCAGACAAGACAGGTATACGAGACCAGACTTGAGATAAGGACATGCAGGGAGACCAGACAAGGAGAGAAGACAAATCTTGATCTGCAATACAATGGGAGGATATACGATGCTTGAGATGCCATGGGAGGTCTGTATTACCTGGCCAGCTTAGTTTAGCTTCACAGTTTACTCCACAGCCATGGGAGGTCATACCATGCTCAGATTGCTCACGGGGTTGGCCCTATGGTGCCTCGTGATCAACTTCACCAGGGGCAAAGCTGCGTGCATCGGCGTGGAGAGGGATGCACTGGCTGCCTTCAACGCCAGCATCACTGATGCTGGTGGGAGGTTACGCTCATGGCAAGGAGAAAACTGCTGCAACTGGGGCGGTGTGAGCTGCAGCAAGAAGACCGGCCATGTCGTCAAGCTGGACCTTGGTGGTTACTCCCTCAAAGGCGAGATCAGTCCATCTTTGGCTGCTTTGACCAGATTGGTGCACCTCAACCTGAGCCATGGTGACTTTGGTGCGGTGCCCATCCCGGAATTCATAGGCTCCTTCAAGATGTTGAGGTATCTTGATCTGTCGCATGCCGGTTTTGGTGGAATAGCTCCTCCTCAACTCGGTAATTTGTCGAGACTCGTCTATCTTGATCTGGGTTCGTTTGGAGGTCCTGGGATCACTGTCAATAACTTCCGTTGGGTTTCCAAGCTGACATCCCTGAGGTATCTCGACCTCAGTTGGTTGTATCTTGCCGCTTCTGTGGATTGGCTGCAGGCAGTGAACATGCTACCATCACTCCAAGTGCTTCGCCTGAATGATGCTAGTCTTCCTGCCACCGACCTCACTTCTCTTTCTCAAGTCAACTTCACTTCCCTTACGCTGCTTAATCTGAAGAATAACGATCTGAATTCCTCCATGCCGAATTGGATTGACAAGCTATCTGCCCTCTCAGAGTTGGACATGACTAGTTGTGGGCTTTCGGGCATGATTCCTGATGACCTTGGCAAACTGACTTCACTTATGTTCATAGGGCTTGGGGACAACAAGTTGACTGGAGCAATACCAACATCAGCTAGTAGGTTGTGCAACTTGGTTCAAATCAGTTTGTCCGGGAACATCTTGTCAGGAGATATTGCAGAAGCAGCCAAGAGCCTATTTCCTTGTATGAAGCAGTTGCAGATCCTTGAACTTGCTGGTAATAACTTAACCAGAAACCTATCTGGTTGGCTTGAGGTCATGTCAGGCTTAAGAATCCTTGATCTCAGTGCGAACTCACTGTCTGGAGTTGTGCCACATGGTATTGGTAACCTATCAAGCCTGACATACTTGGATATATCCTTCAACAGATTTAAAGGCACACTATCGGAACTCCACTTTGCCAATTTGTTAAGATTGGATACTTTAGATCTAGCATCAAATTCATTCGAGATTGTAGTCAAACAAAGCTGGATGCCACCTTTTCAGCTCATAAATCTCGGACTGCATGACTGCCTTGTAGGACCAGAGTTTCCAACTTGGCTGCAATCACAAACTATAATCGAGATGACCGATCTAGGCAGTGCAGGCATCAGGGGTCCATTACCTGACTGGATCTGGAACTTCTCTTTGTCAATGACTAGCTTAAATGTCTCAACAAACAACATAACTGGTATGTTGCCTGCAAGCTTGGAGCCAGTGGCGAAGCTAGAAATTTTGTGAAGCCTGGGCAAACTTGAGCCTAAGTATAAAATAGCTCCAAACATCTGAGTTTGGTGCAAGGAGGGTGAGGGGGGCATAGGCCCCCTCGGCCTCAACATAGCTCCGCCAGTGAAATATGAAGTCAAAACATAAGCCTAGTAGTCGTGCAAATGTAATTTTTAAGTAAACTATTATATAACATATTAATGTTCAGTTTCATCGAACAGAATAAAGTTGAGACTTAGACAACATAAGTCTTAGAATGAGGCCATGCATAGGACCAAATCCCATAGGTCTCGGGGTCCCATCCACCCTTCTACTATCGGTTTCCGGGTGTGAGCCAGATGTAGAGCTTGGATTTGAATATTGCTTTGGCCATCATGTTGCTAGAAAATTCAAAATTATAGTCATCCAAATTAGCTTCCAAACGTCCTAGAAAACGCTACAAGATAAAAAAGAAGGATTTGTAGTGCAAATAAAGTACGTGTTGTGACTTGTGAGCGTGTTCAAAGTAAAGAACTTTAGAGAATAGAGACGATCAGATAAAACATACCAATAATATGCTAAAGAAAATCACGAGGGAAAATTCTTGTGGTAAGTGTGAGTGCTTGCTCTACTAACCAAATTTTACCATCTGTGAAATTCAGTAATTTCAAAATTGAAGTTAACATGTAACTATCTGAAACAAATCCATAAACCAAAGACTAGACTTTTGAGGCCGTGATCATCACCGGAGGTCAATTTTCCATCGGCTGACCTCAAAATTTAAGCCCTAAATCTACCAATTTCCAAATTAGTTAGTAGTCTTATCTGATCATCATAAAGAGGATGAGATGACGAGTTGTCGAGGATGTAAGCCGTTGCTGAAAATGGATTTGCTCTACCCAGCACTTCCTCTGCACCATGGCCTGCCTCCGCTTGTCGCCAATCTGTCTCACAATACGTACAAACGGACAGCTAAAGTGCAGACAAGGGTTGTGATTGCTCGTGTTCCTCTCAAGTAATTATTCTAGAAGAAGCAAACTTAGCACCCTATGACTGTTGAACATTATGCTTGATATAGCCAAGTTTTTTAAAAAAAGTACAAGTGTGAAAAAATAACTTACACAATATTCTGTTTCATTATTATAAAAACATCATTAAGTTTGTGTTAACTTAAATTTGCCACTATGATTGTCAATAAAATAAAATAGTAATAATTTCACCAGAAGAGATCTTAGCTGCAAATTCTCTATGTATATTATCATGCTTTTCGAAGCAAGTCGCCTCACATTTTACTTCAAGAAATCAAATTATCATGTTTAACAAATAAATAAATTTTGTCGCGTTTGGCGACTTTTTCTCTTATGCATTAGATATCTTATGGCTAACAGAATTAAATCTAAGTAATATTTTTGGTATGCACAAGATCAGATTTGAGAGATACGAGCCGAAAACCAAAAAGATTTCTGCTGATGCCATCTATTCATACGTGGCAAAATGAATGGTGATGGAGGCGTGTGGACGATCTGCAAACGCCAACACGTGTGGGCGTTAGTTTTTCCGAAAATTTAACTAGCCCATTGTTACCCCTAAAAATAAGCTAACCCATTGTTTATCACATACGTGCATACGTGGACCCTTTTTGAATCAATCGTGCATGCACTGGTGCCCAGGTAAACCACGACTAGCAGTAAAATCTGCCTATTGTTTATCATGCATGTACAATGTCTCACAGCCAACGAGCCCGGGCAAGTGCCCGGGGTGGCTGGGCGCTGGCTCCGCCCCTGCTTGGAGCAATTGACAATGCTAACAACTCTAAGCATGAGAAATAATAAGCTTCAAGGTAACATTCCAGATTTGCCGCTTAGCATCCGAGTGTTGGACCTATCCTGCAACAACTTATCAGGACCATTGCCACATAGCTTTCGAGACAAAGAATTGCATTACCTATCACTGTCAAAAAATTACATTAGTGGAGTAATCCCAACAGATTTTTGCAACATGATATCATTGGAACTGATTGACCTATCTGATAACAACCTTTCAGGACAGCTTCCCAATTGTTGGCAAAAGAAATCGGAGCTGTATGCCGTAGACTTTTCAAGCAATAACTTGTGGGGAGAAATACCATCTACCATGGGTTCTCTAAATTCCCTCATGTCACTGCATCTTAGCAAGAACAGGTTGTCAGGAGTATTGCCCACCTCATTGCAGTCATGTCAAATGTTGATGTTCCTTGATCTTGCAGAAAATAATTTGTCAGGAAACATACCAAAATGGATAGGTGACAGCCTAAAATCTCTGATACTTGTGAGGTTGGGGTCCAATCAGTTTTCTGGTGGAATACCTGAAGAACTGTCCCAACTTCCTGCTCTGCATTATTTGGATCTTTCGAACAACAAACTATCTGGCCCTGTACCACATTTTTGGGGAAATTTAACAGCCTTGCACCTGGTCAATCAAGACCAAGACAGAAGAACATCGCCTTTCCTTCAGTACAAGGTTTATGGTCTTGGGGGTGCTTACTTTTTCGTATACACAGATACCTTGGAGGTAATGACGAAAGGTCATAATTTTCTTTATGAGGAAGAAATGTACGTGATGAAGGGCATTGACCTCTCAGCAAACCTATTAAGTGGTGAGATTCCAAACGAAATAGGATTTTTATCTTCACTGATTAACTTGAATCTGTCAAGGAACCACATTGGAGGAAGTATCCCTGCTGAACTTGGGAATTTGGTGGATTTAGAGTCACTCGATCTCTCATGGAATGATCTATCAGGTCCAATTCCCGACAGCTTTGCGTCGCTAACTTCTTTGGGCTTCCTGAATTTGTCCTACAATGATCTCTCAGGAAAGATACCGTCAAGAAATCAGCTCGCAACTTTTGATAATTACTCTTTCTGGGGAAATGAAAATCTCTGCGGGCCTCCACTTGACAGAATCTGTGTACCCGAGAGTAACAAACACTGGCACCACAAACATCATCTCAGATTCGACACGCTGACATGTCTATTTACACTGCTCGGGTTTGCATTCGGAATCTCCACTGTGTTCACCACCTTCATATGCAGCGTGGTCACGAGGAAGGCTTACTTTCGGTTCACCAACAGGGTGCTCGGCAAGCTGCGGACTGCAGTGGAGATGAAGCTTAGCATCAACAGGATGATGCCAGCAGGAGGAGACCCCTCCATGGCAACACGGAGTCAGGACTCCATCACTTGCTACGAGCTGGAACAATCTTCCACTGCTATTATGTAATAAAGCGCCTTGTAATATGAATGGATAGTCTGAAGTACCCATATGCTACTATTTTCTTGTAAGAATAATAACCAGCTGAATTCTCTCTCTTGCCCCGCTGGATATTATTGTACGATCCACCTGAAACTCATTTCATAACTCATAATACACATGAAGCATGTATAATTCCTCAAGTGTCTTTGGCTTTGGTTTGACTCTGTTTATTAGGATATATGCGTTCTTCGTATTCCTGTGAACCAAACATGTACATAAAGTTTACAAAAGTTCTGGCTTTTATATCTTCTAAATAAATTCTCTGATTTGCACATGCACATCTATATCATATTCTTGTGCCTGTGCCTGTCCTTCCTATATATGCTTTCAGAATCCCGTGTAGCAAAGTCGCCCTAGTGCTTGGAAGGAGACACAAATTCTCATTACAACATCAACAACTTTGTTTGTTGAGGTTTAGTTAATTTTGAAACAATCCAGAAGTTGGCAGCACCTTTAAACAGTCAGAATGAAGGAAGCACGGGATGATTACCTGCGCAGCGAGATGGGCGGCCGGGAGGATTACCTGCGCAACGAGAGGGGCGGCCTGCACAAGGACTCCGGCGAGATCCCCCAGGGAGCGCTGACTGGCTTGGTTGCCCCCGTGGCTGGGCCGAAGAGGCCCGCAATAAAGCCCGGAAAAACAAGGGGTATGTTCCCTGCAGTATGTTGAGCTTCAGGCGCCACTGACCGGCATTTCTAAAAAAAAAAAAAGGCGCCACTGACCGGCCATCGAAATCACTAATTGAGGAGTACTCCTCGCAAAGATCACTCACATCTCCCTAAATTTTGACAAGTGGCGTGCTGCATGTGCGTCACTTATCGCAACATGGGAGTGTTGCCTCTCTTTTTTTTGGTACATCCGTTTATTCAAAATGTTTTTTGGCTCTCGTGAAGCACAACCGTGCCTCTCACGGAAGTAAAACCATGCCTCACGCGAAAGTAAAAAAAATGGAAAACATGTTTTCTTCCGTTTTCGAGACGCACAACTGTGTCTCTTGCGAAAGCATGACAGTGCCTCTCACGGAATGAAAAAACTAGAATTCATGTTTTTTTTTGTTTCCCCTGCTTCTCGCGAAAGCAAAACCGTCCCTCTCGTGGAAGAAAAAAAAAGAAGAAAACACGTTTTTTCGTTTCCGAGAGGCATGGATGTACCTTTCGCAAAAGCAAAAGTGTCCATCCCACGGAAGCAAAAATCACGTTTTTTTGCGCAAAAAATATTTTTTTCACGAATTGTTTTTGTCCAAAATCTGAGGAAGACCGGTGGAAAACCAAAAAGTCAAAAAAAAAACCAGAAAAAACCGTTTACAAAGCCGAAAACGAGTACGAACAAACAAAAAATTCAGAGGGAGCACTCAGAGCGCGACACGTGGCGGCGGCTGAGAACACGACATGTGGCGGCGGCTGAGAGCGCGCCATCTCAGCATACCCGCAAGTCAGTAATCGTTGTGAGGCTTTCGAAGGAGAAGTCGTCAACTAGTTGCTCCCAACGGTCAGGGAAGCTCCCTGGTGCCCACGCACCGACACTACTGGGCCGACCCATGTACACGTCCACATGTGAGAAAAAAAGGAAAAAAAACACAAAAAACTTAAAACTATCATGAATTCAAAAAAGTTCATGGAGTTTCAAAAAACGTTCGTGAACTTGAAAAAAATGTTCATCAATTCGAAAAAATTCATTGCATTTAAAAAATTTGCCAATTTTTTAAAGATCATTGAATTTGAAAAACAGTTCATCAATTTTAAAAAAGTTCAACAATGTTTAAAAAATATTGATTTTGATTTTTAAACAAATTTTGAAAAAGTTCATCAAATTTGAAAAAAAATCAACCAATTTGAAAAAAAATTCATCGAATTTGTAGAACGTTCTGTAAAAATCATCGAATTAAAAATAATAACATCTATTTCGAAGAAAAGTTTATTGATTCAGTAAAAAGTTCATAAAATTGAAAACGTTCATGTTTTTTTAATCACTGATTTTTGAAAGAGTTCAAGAAAATTAAGTAAAGAAGAAAGCAAAAATTAGCAAAATGGGTCGGCCCAGCTTGGAGGGCTTCAGGCGCCCGTTTGCAACATACACAGTAACGGATGCCTAAAGCGCCAAATAGGATCTTCCCTGCAGTATATTGTTGTATTCTATTCCCTAAAAAAAAGGAAATTTATTTTGGCTCATAGGTGCATATGCACCCACTATCAAAATAGACATTTTACAATGTTTAAAAAAGTCGAGAAAAAATCCCACGTGTAAATCCGGACATTATATGTGCGTGCACCAAGTTTCGGAGAAAAAGAACATTTTTTGTGCCTTGTGTAAAAAATACATTTTTTGATGCTTGATTATTGCTATTCATGAGGCATTTTTTTATCTTTTTATACATGCCACAAAAAACGTCCTTTTCACCAAAATTTTGTGTGCGAACATAGGATGTCGGATGTACACGCGGAATATTTTCTCAATTTTTTTTAACATTTTGAAATATGTTTTTTATACATATTTCTCTACTACTATTGAACAAGCAAACATCTTCTTTCTTAGAGACACCCCGTTAAGTGTACACCGGTTGATTATTACCGTCTGATTATCCCACCAAATTAGATCTAACAGCCTAGATTAATATGAGGTTAGCAATTAGCAATTACAGTCCGCCCGACGTATACTCTGCCAATGCCAAAGATTCGTCCGCCTAATACGTGTTCCATGAAAGCGTAATCAGCTCCTATCCCAGCGATTGTAAAGATCACATACCGCTCCTCCCTATTCCATGTTCATCGTACCCTAGGGCTGGATCCAGGGTTATTAAATCGCCGCCGCCGCCAGCATACGGCTGCAGATGAAGGCCACAACTCTTCTCTCCGGCTATCCCCGACGCCAACCCACCACGCCATGTCCGCCGGACCGACGACGGCGCTGGAACGAGGAGCTCGACCAGGCTGAGCTGGGCGTCCAACCGGACAAGGCAGCAGTCCACGCCGGCGAGTGCGTGCATGGCCCACCCCTCCGCCCACGGCGATGCGGCTCCCGGCTGCGCAGCCACAGCGTGGAGCATCCGCGCGTATGTGTATGCGTCAGCGGCCACCCTACACGTTGCATCTTCATGAATACGCCTATTAAATCCAGACTTGCAGCAAGGCGTCGCCGCGGTACGACCCATCACGCCCTCTGCATCCAATCTCTCTTTCTAACATCTAAGTGCATCAGCAGGTTTGAGCACAGAATCTAGACCGAGAAGGTCACATAAGCTTGCTGGCATCACCCCTTTTTAAACTGATTTTTTGTCCCAAAAGCTCAGGGATTTATTCCCTAGAAATAACATGGCACACCAATTTTATCGATCCCGCATTCTTGAAAATTTATGAGTATGACACTCTCTTGTGTTTGCTTCAAGACGCTCTGATGTATCCAATCCCTTTAAACATCCGTAAATAGAGATAGCCATGATAGTCAGGCACTCACTATTCAAGTATAAGATCAGCTCCATGGTCTCCAATTAGTCTTCTTTCTCGATGCTCAGGTCTTCATGAGCAGACAATCATTTAACAATGGATGGATGGGGGTACACTGTTTGGATCGCCCTACCAAACTGAAATAGTGTTCTGATTACACACTTCACAATTTTCAGAATTGAGACACATGTAGGCTCTGGGTTGTGCCATCACATTAGTGAAAATAGATGTACTATATGTCGATTAGTATTTGTATTGTTGCTTCATCATCCCTCACATAGACCCATTGCCTGAAACGCGGTGTCACACTCTATTCCAGGACTTTACTGACCCAACGCTGCCGTGATGGCCGCCACACTCCTCACGCGGACACCATGGCCTGGACGCAGCAGCGTGACACCACATCACTACGCCTACACTGGATTCAGCAAAGGAACTCCGGCCCATCCAACTTTCAGGTTTGGAACATATTCCTTTGTGTTTCACAAATAACATGACAGAGTCCTATGCTTTTAGTTCTTATTAGGTTGTGTTTCACAAATAACATGACAGAAAATCCTATGCTGAACTGGAATAAATTATTCAGATTCTATTGTGGTAAAGACACGATATCTTCCTTTTGGCAAGCGACAACATCTGGAAGTCTTTGTAATGAAACACTATGACTAAGTAATGATCGTACTACTTAACAATGTAAAAAGAAATTAATGATCATGCTCAACTGAATTTTCTCTGATGTGAGCTGATGTTGGACTCATAATATGTGAGTGCAAAACCCCAACAAGGCCCCGACGTGGATCTGAAAACTGGTACGAAATGCACAAGACACTGAAACTTCCTCCTGATTCAGTGCAGCCATACATCCTTCAGCCTTCTACACCACGCCGGCAAGCCGGAAAGTGCTACAACAGTGGCAGCGCTCTCCCAGGCACTTGGGCTGCCCACAACTCCTACAAAATAAATTGGCACAAGCTTACTCACATAGATTTGCAGATCGGCGCGTGTTAAAAATATGTACATGCAGATGGATCATTCGCAGATCATCTTTATCGGGAAGGACTACTTCTCAAGCGACTACTGCCTTTATCAAGTAAAGGATCTTTGTCAGCAGTACATTCTTTGAACTTTATTAGTTATATCATCTCACTCTTCCTATGTTGTATTGTTTGTACATAATGAGTATTGCTGCTCAATGCAACCACTAGAATGCAATGATTAGTAACTCTTCTTGCACTGTTGCATCTATATGATTGACCTTGTATATTCCGGGTTGACATGCCATTATATTTGACTGTACTGACATTGATGATATGCATTTGATGACAATAGCAAAATTATAACCTATTGGCATGTAACATTCTTTGAAATGATATGACTATGTTTTTTTTTCTTTTACAACTTGCTTACAGATATACTCCCCCTGTCCCTAAATATGTCTTTTTAGAGATGTCAATATGAACTACATACGGATTTATATAGATGTATTTTAGAGTGTAGATTCACTCATTTTGCTCTGTATATAGTCC